AAGATAAATATATAGATTCATTATCGATTTTTGATATAAGTGTTATTAAATATTTTTTTTTAGAACTGTTATTTAAAAAAATTGTTGTGATCCTTACAATAATTAGTCACGATCACAAGCAAAAGAACAATAAATTAATGGTTCTTACTCAGTCGAAATTTATGAGCTCCTTAATAAGACCCCAATCACTCTTCAAACGGAGAGAATGAATTTGGAGTCTTTTTTATTTTTATTTTTTTTAGTAGTTCAGGAAAAATAACCTTCTGATAACGTGTTAATATACAATTATTTTTCTATGTCTTAATAGACCTATATTGACATATGTTTATTGAAGTCCACATTATCTTATTTAGTAGTTTATAATAGTTTCATTTTGCTATTGACTATATAAAATAATTGTCTCACTTTTTCTTTTTCTTCACTTTTCAAAGTTGATCTTAGTTCTTCTTCCTCTTCTTATTTATTTTCAAACCAAGGCTCCTCAATCATAATCAAGTGTCATGTTTGCAAGTGGAAGCTCAAGGGTTCTCAACCACCCCTTTTAACTCCTCACTCTTTCAATGCTTTATAAAATTTCTCCATAAATGCATCGCATGAAACCTATGCATGTGGAGCACTTGACATTACCTCTTGCATGCTTGGAATAAAGTTGTACACAAAATGGTGTATATATATAAATATATATATATAGTAATCCAAAATAATCAACTAAAAAATATATAAGCTTAGGTTGTTGAACAAGCAACAAACTACGCCAACGACATCTGAGTAACTCAAAAGATCATCAACACCATGTATACTCTTGCTCATGCCTATCCTAGTTCTACTCCCATATCAAGTATGATTATTACAATTCAACTACATAGAAACTTGTATAGGTAAACAAGTATTCAAAAGAATCAACATAATCAATATAAAAGTAGAAACTATACTACCAACACAAACAACTTAATATACTTCAACATATCATTAACCTGCGACTTCTCCATGAAATACAACATATGTAACTCAACTAGAACAACACAACAACAACATAACAATGCAACTCTTCACAATTCAACATAGCATGTGATAACATAAAAGATCAACCCATCTCATGCACAATTTTTTAAGGATAAGTATTGTGTCACTACATGACAATTTTTGTTGTGGTGATACTATGGCCATCACATTAGATGATGTGAGATCTTTAACACATCTCCTCACGTCAAGGACTAGACATTTTAAGAGTGAAGTTTGCAAAATTAAACATTTGCAAGTGGTCCAATAACAACCCTATAGCAAATGACTCAATATGCCCAACAACACTCATTATGACAAGCTTTGGTATTATATGGAAAAAGTAGTTTGGAGCTTAACTCAACCTTACAAAACTTGTTTATAAGGTGATGATTGTTCCTCACTTATATAAACTAGTATGACCATCTAACTAAAAGATGTGAGATCTCCAACAAATTTCAACAAATTAAAGTTATAAATCAATCTCATTTGCAAAAAACAAAATGAATAGTGTGTTCATCATCCATATCTTTGCTTCATTGAAAAAATATGCTCCACTTAGAAAAAATGAACAACAACAATGCTTTAGGATCAAGGAAGAAGGATGTGAATGACTGACACCAAGAAATGAGGAGCCTTCAACTCCCAAAGGTCGAGGTTAAAAAAGGAAAAGTAATTAACTTTTCACCTCCCTAATTCAAAATTTACCTAAAAATAAAATTAAATTTTGTATTAAAGTCCTTGTTGAGTTGGAAATGATTTTTCATCTAATTAAGTAACAAGTCACATCATTGATTATATGATACATACTATCCCAACAAATAAGTTTTATAGAAAGAGTTAATATTTCTATCACGATAAAGGTTAATTTATATGACAAAAATCACATTTAAAGATTAATGTTCCATATCTTTTTTAATTCAAAAGCTATTTATAATTGTTCCTCACAAAATTGAGGATCAAAAATATACTTGCCTTCTAAATAATGATATAAATTTGTCGCCATTTAGACAATAATGACATTGATATTTTCCTATGAATTTTATATTAAAAGTAACAATAATATATATAATACTACATTATTTACGCCTATGGTCTATATATCGTTACAACTATTATAGTAGCATAAAAAGAAAAGAGAAACGTGATTCTGGTTTGAATTAATTATCGAAATAACCACAGACACAGACTTGACCAGATTTATTTATTTGGAAAGCGGAGGGGAATTAAAAAACAACAACAAAGCGACTGGACCAGTTTTAGTTAAAATCAATTAAATTTTTAAATAGCTTTTAGATAATATTAAATTACACTGATGCGTTCATTTTAATGAATCAATTATTCTTAAATTATTTTTAAAAGAAAATATGACTGCTGTAATATTATGAAGATTAATATTTCTTATCTTTGTAATTAAATGATCCCAATCACATGTTATTCTAATTAAATTAATTTATAGGTGTGGGAATTAATTAAGGAAAAGGAAATTAACACAGTAAAAGAAATTTAAGATACAGTTTAAATTTGTTAGAATAGTGGATTAAGCCTAACTCAACCCTACAAAACCAGCTTGTAAGGTGAGGGTTGCTTTCTACTTATATATTATTCAATTGCCTAATCTCTAGTCGATGTGGGACTTGGATCTCACGTCCAGCATTATTGAGCTTGATACGTGAATAAATGATGGGTGACCCTTTTTAATGATCTAGGATTGGCGGGACTTGGGTTTTTTCTCAATACACCCCCTCATGCCTGTGAGGCATGCATCAATGGTAGGTGGCCCATTTTTAAAGTGGATCTAAATAGCTCTGATACCATGTTAGAATAGTGGATTAAGCCTAACTCAACCCTACAAAACCGGCTTGTAAGGTGAGAGTTGCTTTCCACTTATATACTATTCAATAATTCTCAGACCTCTACATCCATTTTCACTTGGTTGATTAAACTATTCAAATAACACAGTGTATTCAAATCCACAAGATAATTAACTTGTTGGTGGATATTTTAGAGACCGACAAAGCAATTAAGCAAATGTGGCCCTAAACACGTCATAATTAATTGAAACCAACTTTTATTTTACCTTTCCTAGCAAAGATAAGAATTCATTGGTGGGTGTGATCTTTCATTAAGTGACATAGACATTTTGTGGGGACAATTTTGTAGTTCATATGTTTCTACAAATATTATTTTTCATCAAATATTTCTGTGGCACATGCTTAGTCCTTAGTGGTGTCTGTACATATATAGTGCATAACACGAGCATCATTAGTGGTTGTACACGGCTTCAGCTATTAATTCCACTATTCATACTAATCCATTAAATCAGAAATCAATTTACGAATTAATGTAAATTAAGTAGACTATTATTTTAATCGATAAGAAAGATTACTCAATTTAATAATATGAAATAGTCTTATATTAAAAATTAGAGTAAGATTTTGAGAAGAAAAAAAAGTCTGATTTTCTCGACTAATCTTTTAAATATTATTCTATTTAAATTTGCATTAATTTTACACAATTTTTCTTCTTAATTGTTTGTTCCTTTTAATCTACCATTCTATCTCTATCTTTAGATTGATTATCAATATTTTTTTTAATTATTATATAATTTATATATTTTAAATTTTTATTATATAAAAATATTTATCATGTTCAATGCACATGTTATAATATTATTAAAATTTACTCATATATTATAAAATAAAATACATGACTATATATTTAAAATTCCCATCCTCTCAACTAAACATTTTCTTTCTTCTATCATTTGAATGTGCATGTCATTCACTAAACAACTAGCCAACTATATATCTTCTCACTTAATCATCTACTTCTTTTAATATATTCTCTTTTATTTCCAACAATAAATAAAATTTCATCAGTGTTTAAATGAAGTTGTCAAAACTATTTATTATCTAATTTAATTATATATTAAAAAATACTTTTGAATAATGCATATATACTAGTTATATAAACTTGTTTTTTCATGTTCTTTTATTTTATTACGTGATTAAAAGTGAAAACACATTCCTGGCTATAGCCTGGTTACTATTTGTTACCTATTAGAGTTTAATTATGCTTTTTTTTTTTTTTAATCTTCTACGTCTCATTTCCTACCACAGAATAAAGAAAAAGGGAAAAAGAATATAGACTTAAAACTACGAATTTTATGAAGAAGAAAAAAGGGTTAATGGGAAAAGGAAAAGTTGCAGAGACCAAAGGAATGAGTTATCCTGAGGTTCGAACAGCCAAGGGTCAGATTTCGATCAAGATCAATCCCTTCTCTTGCTACTTGATTTCTTAAGTCTTCATATCTCATATTCCACTTTCCACATATATGTCTATATATATTCCCTATTTATTGAATTTAATCAACAAGAGCGTGATTCTGTCAATTAAGCTTCTTTTTTTGGTCAAGTGCGTGCGGAGAGATGGTGATTGTGTTTGGTTGATTAATATAATACAAGGTCAAGGAGTGGTTAATTTTATGTGGATCTATATTATACGTACAAGAGGAGTGCTAATTTTAATGCATACCAAACACCTAAATAAAATTGTGGAGGATATAAGATGCACAGAGGTATAGCTAACACAAGGCGTGAGACTCTACAACAAAAGGAGAAAATTACGCGCGACCTGTTTATTATAAATACACGTAATTAGGCAGAATGATTAATTAATTCGTGATGATTTTATATTTCGGATAACCATATTGGTGAATAGTATCCACTAATAACGTCTTTACTCCTAATTATATCTTTTTTTTAATCTATAAGATTCTAATTTTAAACTCTATTTAAGATGACTGAGTATTAATTGAATCAATAACTTGTTAGTTAATATATGATATTATTAATTAATTAATTTTTTAATGGAATATATAATACCTTATTTAAAGAAAACGAAATTGATGTTACTTGAATATAAATGAGAGTTGATAGAATTGGTTGATGATATTATTAGGAAGTATAAGACGGACCTCACACTTATAATTAAATTAATCTAACATGAATCACTCATCACTCATCCACCAGCTGTCTTTTGGAAATATCAGAAATTTATATAGAAAAAAATTTCACTGGGAGGAAATGCAGAGAATACTGAGACAGAAGAGGCAGCAAGCAAAGCAAAGTAGCAAACTCTCCCAACCCAATCCCCTTTGAAAGCAAAAGGGTGGCTAGCTTTTGCTCCCCATGCCCCGCGATGATGGACACTTTGTCTAGCTCGACAGCACCCTTTTAGCTACCACTCTTCTTCCCTCTTCCTCTTCCTCTTCCTCTTCCTCCTCTCACCTTCTTCCTCTTCCTTTATCAATCATTTATATCCAATCCTACCACACAATCAAATTTGGTTCGTTTTATTTCTCCATTTCGCAGCCCTGACATAATAGATTAGATTAGATAGATTATAGATACATGCCCCCTTTGTTACCATCTTTAATTTTCTACCTTTTTTTTATTCATTTTTCTTCCCTATAAGATCTTGTGTGAGTGTATTTTATATCTTTTTAATCTCCTCAACAACTCCCTCCCCAAATTATAAAGATTTACCTCTTTCTCTTTCTAGCTTGGCGGTGTTCATGTCCCATGTGTGTGCTTCAAGTTTTTTGTTTCCTTTTTTTTTTTTTTTTCTTTTGTAAAATTTAAAGTAATTCATCGGATTCATTAACTGAAACCAGTCTCTTTTGGCATGTTTTTAAGGATCTGGCGCATGTGAAAGCTCCAAATTAAGGTGCTCACTGTTGAGATCAAGACACGCAGAAAAGAAAAGAGAAGGTTTGATTTTGATTTGTCTCCGTGACCCGTTTTGCATAGACTTTTGAGAGAGAAAGAGTGAGTGTATTATGATACATCATATATCATTGTAGCAGGTTTTTCCCGTACGGATACAAAAAGAAGAGATTTTGTTTTTGACAGACATGGCGACGTACTTTCATGGCAGCACTTCAGAAATCCCGTCCTCCGCTGAAGGGTTGCAGACACTTTACCTTATGAATCCAAACTACGTACCCTACACTGACGCGTCGCAACACCCAACGCAAAACATGCTCCTCGTCAATTCCAACACTAGTAACACTCCCACCAACGCGCTCAACCTCGCTAACTTCTCCCACGCGCCGCCGCCACAATCTCCCAACAACCACCGTGAGCACCACCACCACCTAATTGGGGTTACCATTCCCTCGTCAAGCATCCTCGGATCAAACTCCGACCCCGCTCGGCCCTTGTGCTTAGGACAACATGAGTTATCCGGTGGATTCCATGGTGCTGCCGCCGCCGTTTCAACGGCGGG